AATACTGAAATTATTTTAATTAATGTTCGTATTTTGTTCCGATTATTTTAAAAAGCACTTAAAGTTTTTAATTTTGACTAAAACAGTGAATACTGTCACAGAAAAGTTATGAGATTGGAATCTGGATAATACTCGTAGCTTCACCCGTTCGGTTATTTAAGCACCTAAAAAAAAAAAAAAATATTGTATTATAATATTCAAATTTCCCAATAATAATAATTTAAAAATATATGAGCCTAAAAAATAGGGGCAGAAAAATGACACTATATAGTTGTGTTAAAAACTAAATTGCGACTCTTGTATAAAAAATTTACGAGATGAATGGTTATATTATTGCTATGATATCTGCAGTATTTTCTTTTTCGAGGAAATCATCTTATGGATTTTCATCCTCAGTGTTTTTATAGCTTATTTCGAATATTTATGTTTCTATCCATGATTATTATATAATATTATATTATAATACATTTACCTAAAAAAATATTATTATTTCTTCCCTATTAAAAAAAACCACCGCATTCACTTTTTCGTACACTAAAATATTTCGAATGTACCTGATCATTGAACAGGTTAGGTTAGTGAAATGTGTTCAATTTGAATTCAATGATAAATAATTATACTGCATAGGTACGAAAAACGATTCTTAGCGGAAACTGCAAACCTCTTAGGACTGTTTCTAAGGATATTTTAAAGTATTTATTTCTATTACTATAGTTTAGTTTTGTATTAGTAAAACCAAAAAAAACCCAATTAATTCCACATTGACCATTTTTTGGCTAGATACAACTTTTTTTCTTTACCAATTTTCGGGAGGTCGATTTTTTTTATTTTTTTTGTTATTTCCTGTTCGGCAGACAGTCCGCTTTGTATTTTTCTTAAATAAAAGTTGTTCTCTCTCTCCTATACATCATACTTTATTACTGCAATAAATTATATTATTATTATTAACTAATTATACTATAACTAACATTGTTATAACATACCTATGTCAATACCAATAGGTTCGTCTTATAAATAACCTAAAATAATTTTCAATATTTCAATGTAGAGATGTAGAAAGTACTAATGTATTGATGAATATAGTCCTACAGTTCACATTTATTAATTTCCAATCAAATATGAAATCGTCGTAGTCTTTTTATCTGACTATTAAAGCATTTTAAATATTTTAAATTTCTATAATTTATTGCATTTATTAGCTTCCCCGCTGAAAAAACGACATCAACAATCAACAAAATAAAAAATAGATAAAAAAACCCAAAGTATTTTGGAAATGTTATCAAGTATATTATAAGCTAATATCCCTTTTTGGTGAATGTTTCGTGGTTCTTACAGCTGTTATTATAATATACTATTTTTACTGATTTCAGTAGTAATGTTACGCAAAACAAACTAAAAGACACATAATTGTATACCAGTACGGCAGTACCTACATACAACTCTCCGCTCATAATCTTAAACCTTTAAAACTTTTTACTGTTAGGTATGAATTAATAGCTGTTGTTATATTTTTTTTGCATGTTTATAAAAAAAATTTTTCGCATTAAACGGACTTAAAATGCTTTTAAAACAAAAAACCAAAACAAATTCGAAATCGCTGAAACCTGCAGCACTAGCAGAAAAGTGAGCCATTTATGTTCAACAAAAATATATTAGACAGTAAAAAGAAATATATCAGGGCCCAAGGGGTGTGGGACGATTTATAACTTTCACGATTTACCCTAATTTAGAATAATAATGTATGGCACGTAGTGAGCTGGATATTGTATTAATGCATTTCAGCCGATGCATAATAAGGACTAGACGAGTGAAAAATCGATAGCGTAAATAGGTGGTAAAATGTTTAATAAACGTCTGTACGATAATGCAAACGAAATGATAACATTGACAATTATTATAACGTACAATACCGCACACTCTGCCGCGAAAGTTCACTCATATTATATCGTTGGCGTCGGTACCTTATAAATATATTATATGTGTACCTAGGTATGTATATAGTATATTATTATAATATTTACTAGGAACAATATACGCATAAAAGGGCTGCACAGAGGTATTGTATGTCAGGCATAATGATACCAGTGACTGTACAAATAATTATATATTACATTACAATTTCAAAGTTCAAAGTTCTAACCATTCACGCTCGAATGTCGTGGATACACCTAATAGTTTGAAATAATTAAAAATCAAACGGTTTAACGTATAGTTTTGTGCGACTCTGATGCCGGAGGTTTTTTATTTGGTACCGGACATTTTAAAAGTAATGATATTTGAGTTGGACGAAAAAACGGCGCAATGCAAAACTTACGGTATATTTCGTTATTAAATTTGGAATTTATTGGAAAAGTTTTCTGGTTTTCGGCCGTCACGTATAATATTACAATCTCGACAAACAATACAAACTCGAAACGTCTACGACAAACTATATTATGTAACGTCGCTGAAGTGACACCCGTGCGATTGTTCATTCCTTATTAATAAGATGCGGATTTTTATGTAAATACATAATTTGGTTGAGTGCCAGTTTTTTTTAATTACTATTGAAAACGAGCAAGTCTAATAACACTTTGAACAAACTAAAACGTATTTATTTGATTGAAAAAACCCATTTCATTCACATATTATTTCATATTCTTAAGTAATTACACATATTTTTTTATATATTTTATCTGTAAGTAGCTGGTACCTATCAACATATTTCATATTTTAGATTCTAAGCGTATAGCAATGAATGTATTGATTGTCCAATGATTTGTGATTTTTTTTTAGTGTCCGTGAAATGTCTTATTAAGGAATTAAAAATTTTAAAATTCACAGAACTGTTTAAAGCAATCCGGAAAAGTAAAATAGAAAAACGTGTTAACATTTTAATATTATTATTAAAATTATAAAAAATTATTTAATGATATATTATTATTGCATAGTTGTCCGGTAATCTTGGAAATTATAGGCATCGTTGACACCTTCCGCATTACTTACATACAACTCCGTATGGCTATTATACGGCAACCTAATATTGTAAAACTTCATAAAATGTATCTACTTTTTTATTGGTAAATATTTAATAGGTAAGCAATACAACTTCGTAGTAACTGATATTGAGACCGGGTATTGTATATCTATAATAGAGTCCCGCAACTCTCCCTGGATATCTTATACTTGACTGGTCACCCCAATCCATTCTATAACCTTTTAATATTATTGTCTATTTTCATTCATTGGTTCATTCAAAAAAAAAAAAAAAATTAAAAAAATTAATGTTTATTAATTTTATGGAAACCACAGTAGATTTTCCAATCACGTTTACTACGGTTATATTACCTTCCCAATCGTGGTTTGTGCTGTTCAAAGTTTTAAACATCTGGGGTTCAAAAAATGTTTTGTTTCACACCATTTTAATCCAGCAGACGTAGTACGAGCAGAGTAAAAAAAATCTAGTGGCTTCTTGACAGTGTTATATATCTTGAAGCTGAGTTTGCCCATTTAAACCTCATAAATTTCGTTGTTTTTTTTATGCAGTTCATTAACTATAACGAACCACTCAACCTATTTACTTAAAATAAGCATCAAAATGTCGGAAATATTATGGAGATTATACTTTTGGAGTGATGTGTTAATGTGGCAAAATTAATCCCATTGATTCGTCCATTTTTTACTGAGCAGACATCACAATGAAAAAAGTGAAGTTATACATGAATCAAAATGTTGCAAATTGTATTGGCAAAAAGATAATGAATAATCCAGACGGCAGCTTCGGCAGACGGGTCGCTGAAAATTCCGTATCCCTTTAATAATGCTCCCACCACTTTTCGTAGTTCGTAAAGTCATGGGGGGGGGGATTTAAGTACAAACAGCATCAGCCTAGCTGCAGGTGGCGGTGGCCAGTTGGCGTCTCTCACTCGAGAGCCGAGAGTTGGTCTGTTGTGCACTCTAGCTGTTGCACGTAATAACTATAAAATGCAATAAGTATACACGTCGATGTACGTGGGTTGTGTTTTCGAAAAAAAAATTAATTAAAACGTAAAACAAAACTTTGTGACTTTAACCCCTCGACGTTGTTAAAAAAAAAAAGTTGGAATGCTCATATTATGTACAGTATAGTTGTTTAGTGCACCTCGTGATCTAGTCATTGAGATTAATGTAAAGTATGTATGAAATTCGAGTTAAACGATAAACAAAGAAAAGAAATAATTATTTACGAAAAACGATTTTGAGCGGAGACTGTCAGGCAGACTATATTACAATAAGTAGTATAGTATTTGACTATATATCTACTAGGGGGTACTGCTCATTAGGTCAATTGATTAGTAAGTTGGTCATAACTATAAAGCACAGCAAATAGGTCATTCCCCACCCTCAGCCTCGCCACTCGCTAAACGTCCTAGTATAACGTTTATTATATTAATAATTATTTTAACGGTAAATATTGGTATCATATCATATCATATATTATTGTTATCATCTTTGGAGTTAATACTGACGTGTTTATTATAGAAGTAGAACACACTCAGATAACCAAATTTAGTTGACAAAAATGGTGCTAAAAGGTTTTGATTTTTCTTTGCCTTTTATTTTTTTTTACCACTAAGTTGTAGATTTTCGTTGTGACTTGTTATATTAATATATTATAAACTCTATTAAAAGAATCTCGTCGGTCATCTTATACAGATTCTCGTGTATATAATTGTTTCCATGTCGAATCATTTTATTGATTCACCGTTGTGTATAATATGACAAAATAAAATAAAATCGTATTCAAAAATTCTTCATTGCATCGATTTTATTTTTTGGTCACCGAAGGTACGCCAATACAAATTAACTAAACTTGTACACCTATATAGGAGAGAAAGAAATAGCTAAGTGTGTCAACAATACGGTTAACTGTCTGTTAGGTTTCAGTGCCAAACGATTATTTATTGGCAGCGAATCAATTCGGAATAACGTTTTTGCGGAATCGTAAAACTTTATACTGTTGTTGCCGGGTGAATGAGTTTCAGACATACTCGCACTGCACGAGTATAAAATAAATAAATAAATAATTTTGGAATGACTTATAAAGATGTTAAACGCGTGTTATCGACATGAAATAACATTCGTGATTTTTATTTGTATAGATCCGTCGGACCAACTGATATGATATCAATAAATGTTCCAGTGCTTTTCATCGGAGTCGCATAAAACTCGAGAAATTCACATTTACAACTCAATACGCGTTCAATATATCGAATTGGTGCACGAGCTTCGGTAGGACGCGTCGTTGAATAAACACGTAGTTGTCTGTATGCGTTTGATGGTAACCATTTGTGTTAATTCCTATATGATAATTATATGTGCTATAAATAATTATAATATGATATGCATAAAATTAACTTAGAAACAAAACTATAACAGTGTAAGTTAATAAAAAAAAGCGGATAAGTGGATGTCGCTCTGCAATAGGTGTATTAGATTAGGTGTCTAGAAAGTCGCTGTAATGGATGGTATTAAATTTATGAATTCTGCAATGATATAATTTCGTCGTTATAATTTCGAAAAACGTTTCTAAGCGGATATTTTATGTATTGTTATTACTTATTATTTATACGGTATAGCCGGTAAGTTGAATTAATATTATTCATAATATTATTCTTAAATTATCAGTGATGCTGAAAAAATATTATATATACTTATGTACAATTGGGTCAATGTTCTTAAAACTTATAAGAAATTTCGTATTAAACTTTCAAATCTTAGATATAAAAAGAAAATTAAATTTATGAATTTCTAACTTAAAATAATTTGCAAATTTTTGTTAATTTTGCGTATTTTGTCGAAATTTGAAATTCAGACGCCCATAAAAAAATATTATCTACTTACGCTCAACTTGTTTATAATTTCCACTAAAAACAACTTATGAGGAACTTTTTATTATATTTTCAAGTTTTTTGACCGAGCCAAAAAATTTTTATAGACATTAATCGAAAAAAAAACTGATAATAATCGAACATTTCATATTATACTTATTAATATCAACAAGAGGCTAAATGTTACGGTATTCAGAAAATGCCAATGAAAATATTGAGTGAAAATTTCATGTATCCGTATGCTCATTTTTTGAAGAGTGACTAAAAACCAAAATCGTTTCTTCCGAAAACTAGTTTTGTTGTTTGCTTGTCCTGTCGCTTTTGAAAACTATTGGGAATTTTAAATTTTGATTTCCCAAAGGCAATAATTAGATTTACTTTCCTAACAGAAAATTGAAGCACTTTTACTGCCCCTAACCGCGATGACAGACATAAGAATAAAAAAAAAAAATAAATAAAATAAAAAACACACATCATTATGAAATCGATACATTTATCGCTCCGCTCAGAATCTATAATACTATTACAGTTGTCTTATTAATGGTCTTAGATTATATGAAAACCTTCTAACTCAAATAAAAATTATCATAAATCAGTCGTTTTTATTAATCAGTGAACTAAATTTGTAAAATCATTTTATCAATATTATAAACTTTATCAGTACCTACCGGTATTCTATGTTTAATATTTTCATTTATTAGTAATCCTATTATTATTATTAGTTTTAATTGTAATATTATACTGTTTTTATTTTTTAGAGGCTTTCGTCTATGAAGACAAGAATTTTATCCTTAGTGGTAACGATGTAGTACAATATTTATATAATAATCAACGTATTCTTGTACATTTCTAAAACTGCTAAATCAATCATTTATATTATTATTATTGTACAAATAATGATGAAACGTTGGTCGCATAACTCTATCTTACAACTATCAGAAAAAATTGTCTTACTTTATATACATTATGAACTTCGAGGTTTGTGTCTAGGGTATTCGTTTAAATAAGTGGAGTTCTATATACATTGCTCAGCCAGGGGTTGATACTTAAATAAGCGTACTGGGGGTATCGGAGTGTAATCTTGTATAGGAATATTTGCATATTTTCAGAATAATTATGTCGTGGATGGACCGATGGTCTTGAGAGAACCCATTTAATGTCTGTCAGCAATTATTGGTTGATGTTGCTTAGGATTGTTAAAGTCATTTCTTGCGTTTATTGATGGGATTACCGGTCTATAAAAATAATATTTTAATAAAAACTATATTTAATATAATTTTGTTCATTTCAAACATTTGTTGTGTTGATAGAGTGTGGTTAACCAGAAAAATGTTTGTCTTGAAATTTGAATTTTCGTAATTTAAAATATTTTAATATTTTTACTATGCTACCACTGCGGGAACATGGCCAAACGACTTGAAAAATAGCCTGCGATGCCCATGCTAAGGATTATCAAGATTATTGGTACCATTTACACGGCCGAATACGATGCCAACAGAAAAACATACAAAACAAAGGCAATGATGATATAATAATAAAATTGTGTATTGTTGTAGTCGTTATGTTTGTGTACGACCATACACCCACCCAGACGCCACTGTTGTCGTCTACTCCAACATTTTATAATATAAATCCTTACTACTAATCACTCGGCGTGGACCCACGGTCATTTATAGCTCTATGCCATGATCTATTTTTCCTCACTCTCGGAATAATGTATGCGTGCATATTTTATTTGATAATTGTCGGGCATTGAATGGGTACAATATATATGGATGTGTGAACATGTGTGTTGAGGTCTGAGAAACTAAGTTCAGTCGTGACGACATTACATTTTTGTGGGGTGGTTGATTGTTCCGTTATTAGGTGAGATAGGTTGGAATGGAAAATAATGAATAGTTTATCATGGAGTTGGAAGGAACACGTAAAGAGACTAAAAATAATAAATTGGGATCATCGAAAGTACCTTTAGGTAGAGAGGATACAACGCTTGGTTTACAAGTAACATGGCAGGTAGTTAGAGTGGGAATATAAAGCAAATGTGTGTGAAGTCACTAGATTGATTTTCGATTATTAATTGATAGGATCCATAAAAAAATTAACTGGTTCTCAACTCATGTTAATTACGTAGTTAATCACAATATAAATAAGGATTGCAAATATATAATTATTTAATAATATAGAATCGGTAATACCCAACAGAAGGAGAAAGACAGGCTGCAAAGGTGAAGAACGTAGTATTAAGAATCACCAACCATAGAATAATTTGAGCTGATTTCTTTGATTTAAAACCTACAGGAGAAAATCGGTTTAAAATAAAAAATATAGATAGGTATTTAAAATATCAACATGGTTGTGAGTAAATCTGTGAAATAGGGTGCAGAAATGGAGAAAGTAATTTTGTGACCTTTTTTGACATTAAAATTAAGATTAACATGCTTTGACAGAACAAAAAATGCTTCAAGGCAGTTGTTAGTCTTAGTTGTTGTAAAAAAAATACAAATATGTACACATCATATGATTTAAAAAAATGCAAACACTTAAAAATTAAAATCAATACTCAGACTTCGATTTTTGACATCTATAAAACACTAATAATCAATAAAACATTTTCATAGAATTATACGCATTTGTTAAGCTTTAGAATTTTTTAATCTATTCTTCGTCCATTTAGGTTTCAAGACAGTAGATATGCATAGACTAGTTAACATTTTACTTTGTCCATTATTGTATCCATGGTCAGTTCATGCAAATTTTTTTTAAATTTACATAAAAACAATATTATTGTAATTATGTTTAGTAGGTATATGTAAATCCAATTATATCATCGTAAGATTCTCGAAATATTAATTATAAAACTTCAGAACTTAATAATAAAAGGATGTGCCAGTAATCTAACTTGGACAGGTTTTTCAATTTTCAAGTTAGTGTTTTAAAAAGTACATTTAATCTGGTGAGTATTATCCGACCAGCCATAGAAAAAATAAAACGTCAGATGGTTTTCAATTAGTGTTGGCTATTGCAATTCTGTTATTTGTGCTATTGCTGTTCTGGAATTTCATTATTGTATTTTTATTGGAATTTTCCTAACTTTTGGAAAAGTCATAATCCCTTCAAAAGTTTATATTGTACGAAACACTTACGTTTTAAAGCTGTACTTATTATATACTTACCTATGTCTTGTGACACGTCAAAGACACAATAATATGAGGTTTTTCAAAAACGGGAATAAAGTGACTACCAATCACTGTTGGCTGGACTAAGTACTTCACTATTGGCTCATTCTCTAATAGAAATATTAACTTATTTAACTACAATTACCGGAAAAACTTTTTTTGTAAAGTTGTAACTTTCGGCACTCGGTAGCCGTCAGTCGTTACCCATTGGCTAGTGAGAAAATTTACTGGTAACCTCCAAGCCGCTTCACTTAATATCCATGAAGACCAGTTGATAGTGATGGGGATGTAGGTTTTGTAATTATAATTTAAAAATAGTGAGTATATGAATTAAAATAAACATAAAAATAGTGAATTTTAAATGTAAGTATAATAATGATGGTTTTAAGATTTTTGAGAATAATTAAAAATATTTTTTTCATTTAATTTTTGGTGCATATTTTAATACATTGTTTATGTACATTTAATTATTTTATGCTGAATATTCGGATAAGTATACTATAGTTCTTACAGCATATATTCAGCGGTCTAGACCAGCAATTCTTAACCTTCTGTAGAATACGGACCCCCGATGAAAGGTTTAGAAATCGCAGACCCCCTACCAATTTTTTGTATCGAATTCCTCATTGTCATTGGTGTAATAAGGATAAGATTATTTGTCTCTTACAATATAAGATATATTTTATAATTTTATATGAAAAAAAAATAACAATCCAAAAAATTTTTAGTAATGCACTCATGTCACATATTGACTTATGTTAGGTGTTAAGGCTGCTGCGGAAGAAATTCTGTAGCAAAAAAAGTTTTGCAGTACGAACTTCAAGTTTCTCGAATTTTGAGAAGGAAGAAATTCGCGAGCGCTTGGTTTGGTGCAGTACATGTTGTTTAACCATGGTGTAAGAGACGTAAGACATACAAAGTTAATCGTGAGAAGTCATTATAAATAATAATGTGAATAGTGAATAGTGATAGCGATAGCGGAAAAATTATAAACAAATTCGACCACGGTTCTGGTTACTAGAACTAAACAGGCTAAACGCTGGATCATGATTCATGGTGTTTGCACCTTCGTTTAGCAAACAAACCGCCTGAATTTCTCCGTTTTCAAACGTTTGCAACGTTTTCCGCTACAGAATTTCCTCCTGATTAATTCTAGAGTTTCAAAGTTATACCTAGTTAATTATAACACCATATCGACGTAGATGTGTACACGGCACCAGCATAATATAGAGTCGCCCGTCACACGACATAAAGCGGCTGGCGGAAGCTAAAGA